GTGTTACGCTAATATTGCGCCTGGGTGTATGAATGAGAACCGTGGAGTGATGTGTGTTGGCGAGAGAATGTCTTTGCATTTTTTTTAAATATAGGGCTAGGTAGGACAGGTAACTTACCTTCTGGTGTGTGTGTGCTTTAATTATAAGTAGGCAGGGGCCGGGGCTGGCTACCACCTTTTCTCTTCGGGTAGGCCCCGCTTTCGCGGTGGTGGTCAGCTACTGGAAAAACTTGTGGAGTTAATTCGAGGCTGGCCCAAACGGAGAATGCCGTTTGCTGCTAGCACTGATTTAAACTCTTCAAGTTTTAGGGTTTCTGTGGGCTAGCTTCTGCGGTCGCGGTCGCGTTCGTGTTTTCGGTGTTAGGGCCTCAAAACGTTGCGCAACTTGCTCATTACACGAACGGTGAACGACAACGACAGGAGTCATTGTCTGTTGGCTAACGAGCAAGTGTAGGGTTTCAGATATGTGGCGGACCGCAGAAGAAAAGAAGAGGCTATATGCTGAAGAGGCCCAGACGTATGTCTTTCAAGAGGGCAATTATTAATGATGCTCCATCACTTATGCGATTGGGCGTCATTCTTGTTACTACATTGTCATTGTGCTCACTATTATATTATCGTCTTAATATTTTTCATTTATTTATTATTTATTTTCATTTCATTTATATATATATATGTATTAATTTTTATCTTTTATTTATGTACTCTTTATTTTATATTTATTTTCATGTATTTCTTACATTTTCTTTCCGTTTCTGTTTGTTGATTTATGATTTTTTTTTATTTGTTTCCTAGGTTGGCCTTCTGTCAACCTATTTCTTATGAGGGCAGATCGCGGTTTTCAATTAGTGTTGTGAACAAAATGATTACGGTTTAAGTAATTATACAATTACAGTTTGAATTTTGGTCTTGTAAGTGAAGTAGAGTTAACTTTCAATGTATATAAAATTTGGAACTTCCAGTTATTACATGATATACTGATTTTCTGAATAAAGATATAAATATAACGCCATTGAACAAAACGAATAGTAAGAAGAATATGTTCATGATTTCATGATAGAAACGCGTACTTCGTTTACAAATTTTTGTCAAATGATGTAAATTCTAAATTTAATATTACAATGAAGTAATTAATGTCTCAAGATTTAAGCCAAATCATAATTGCTTTTAATTCATATTTTAGATTAGTTGAAATAATACAGAATAATTTATTCAGTAACTAGAACGGTACATTTCATAGACATAACTATCTCTTAATTGAATATTGTAATGAAATAATTAATCTGCAAATATTTAAGACCTCACAAAATTCTTTTTAATCCATGTTATAGCTTAATTAATCAGATTTAGAATGTTGCAGTTCTTCTATAACTTGAGGTGGTCTGTTAGTCAATGTTCACTATCGAATAGTTTTACAAAACCACACGAGATAGACGAAATCTCAATGTGAAACTTAATCAAACATAACATAAAATTAATGTATGATAGAACCGACTGCAGAATGAAAAATGTAATAGTCACGAAGCATTCGACTCTCGAGCAATTTTGGTCTTGTATCGCGTACCGTATTATTGAAACCAACGCGGAACCAATACATTCAATTTAATATAGCGGAGAAAACGTATTGGCTCGTTCTCACAGGTGCATGTTATAGCAGTTAGCGCAATACCACGGTGTACGTTGCTACGTTCAATTACCCCGTTCCACATGTCGCGATTTGCAGTTCCGTCCTGGAACTTGTGTACCACGAATCGCATGAAAACAGTACCATTTGCAAAAAGAAGACGTATTAAGTTACGTCACCTGCGACGGTATCGGCACCGAGATTGTCCATCGCAATTAGGTGGGCATCGACGTGTCGTGCTATCCGCGGAGTCTACACAGTAGAGTCTGAAACGTAGCGGCGTGCAGCCTTAGCCATTTGATGGTGTGTGAGCGTTAAATGCACGGGAATCTGCTAATGCGTTTCACGGCATGCATAGTGTTTTTCGAAGGTATTGGTTCCCTCGCGCCGATATTAAAGTAGAGTCAGTACCACTTATAGTGGAAGATGAAACACGTGGTGGTACCTTGTCGCTCTAAAAAAAAAGACAATGGTGTTGCCACGTTGTCGATTAATTGCTCGGTGAGTTTAATGTGGATTGGGTATTGCGAAACGCATTTTGCTGTTGGACATGGTGGACGTTTGACGTTCATACAAGTTGTATCTGAAATTTTCTTTGCAGTTTTGCTATGAAAGTTCTTAAATGAAAGTTGTACTTCTAAATGGAACAGTCTGTAGTAGGGTCTAGTAAAGTATGATTTCTTTGGAATTGGTTTTTTGAGAATTATTTTGTATACAGTTCATCACGAGGTTACTCTAATGTATAATACATGTAATGATCATGAGATAATTAGTTACTGGAATAAATTTTCTGTAGCTCCAAGTGTTAAGTTTCGATTACTTTTTGAGTTCAAAGTTTCAGTGTGAGAGACCCTAGTTTTGAAACACCAAATTCTAGATTTCTGATATATATTTTTTATATGAGTTTGTTGATTGTTGATACATACCTTTACACTGTTCGTTTTGTTAAACGTGCGATTATGAAGTGTGTTGCACTGTGTGTTAAGCACGACTGATTGTAAATTGTATATTTTTCATTGCTGTTGTGACTTTGATGTGTCATGTTTTCTGTAGTGTTGCGAAATGTCAATGTCCAACTTATTGTTGAAAATATATCTAAACCATAACAGCCAGTGGTTAAATATGGAGATTCATCATAGCGAAATTGGCTGATGATGTTAGAGTACCTTCCATCCATAATCCTCCAGTGTTGCGTATGAAAAGATACAGGTGCCTGGTATTTTCTTGTTTTCATGTATTAATTATTATATCATATATTAACAATATTTACAAATTAATAACTTTGTCGTAATCCCCTTTTTGTTATTACTACCTATCGGTTCAACACAGTATCAGTACATACCCCTGAGATATTGCTCGAAAGTAAAATAAATTATAAAAAGTATTTGATGATATTTACTGTAATATATAACTGTAATTCGATTGTTCATATTAATAGTTAACTTCCTGAAATCGCTAAAAATTAGTTTCTATTTTTCATGATTAAAACATTTAGTTCTCAATACAGTAAAATGCAAATACTTTAATTTGAACATCTGAAATTCCTTTGACGTTCATTATTTGATATTGAAATAAAATATATAATGTATAGTAAATTGTTAGTATTAATAATTGAACGTAAATGTAAGAAATAGTTACAAGTACAAATTCAGAATGAAAAGTTCAAAGATTTCTCAATATTCAGATTCGTAACGAGTTGTTGAGTTTTTAATTTCAAGGATCTATTGCTCTTGAATTTTGCATTGAGATTGAATAAACTCATTGTTTAAATTTGATTGTCCATATCTAGTATATTTATGTGATACTAATTAGTTTCTTTTCAGCTATAAATCGAATAGAAAGTTTTCTGCTTGTTTAGGTATTCATTTCTGGTGTCAAGGAAAATGTATCAAGGAAACTGAGCCTGTGCTAAGATGAAAGTGTAAATAAATGTAATAACATGATGGAGAATCTGTCAATGGTAAGAAGCCAGAAACATATTTTGAATTGAATCTAAAAATGGAATTCGATTCACATTAACATATATATACAATACTATTTAATTCTTTGCGTTTTTGTTTCAGGATGGGCGTTTCAATTAGGAAAGAAATTCTGATGGAAATACAGGAAGGAAATTGGAGTACAACTTCAGGAGAATACAATTACAATAAAATCGTAGGAGGGAATCAGTTATGGTATAAATCAAAAAGAAGAGAGGTATATTATTTAATTGTGTATTATTTTCAGGTGTCTATATTGTTTATATATTATTTTCAAGTGTCTATATTGTTTGTGTATTTTTTTAGGTGTTCATATTATTTGTGTATTATTTTCAGGTGTATAACCAATTCAATTTCCTTTTCAGCTAGGTACCATCGTAGGATATCAACAGTAAACATGAATATTCAGCCTATACATGTATATATACATGTATACATAGATTACACACATTAGAATGCCATGCATGGTTAGGTAGGGGATTTATTGAACTTTAGAAGCTCTATGGTTCATGAACAAAGTTTAGGAATTAATATAATATTGTATATTTTATGTTGTTCTGCTTCTTGTACAATGCATTGTTTCTTTCTTTCACAGTTGTACTTGTTACTAATTATATAAATTTGTGTGTAAGAAATTTTGTTCCCTTTCCAGCTAGGTAACATCGTGGGACAGCATCAACACAATGCAATACATATGTAAACACGTGTTAAAATACCATGGTTAGGTAGGGAATTTATTGAGCTTTAGAAGCTTAAAGGTTTATGAACATTTGGGAACTATTAGTAATAGGTATTGATTATTGTTGCGCTGGGTGGGTCCTGGGGTGCTCGCCCGCGACATATTTATTTACAATGTTCTTTATACACTTATATTTACAATTTCATACAAATATTACACAATGTAGTCTATAGTTCGACACGTCTTTTCTCGTCAACGTTCGCTCGAAGACTACTCGCTTGTCTTCGTTTACTCTGACTAACTCCTTAGCGACCAGTTTATTTCAACCCCCTTCAGATCCTAAGGGTTGGTTCAGCCGTGCGTGCTGAAGGGACGAGTTCGATACATCGCAACCTCGTTAGTTCGATGTATCGCAACAATATTTAGGATACTATTATATAGTATTATATTAGGTACTATTATAGGTAGGTTAATATTCGGCCGGGTAGATTCGTGCAAAGCAGCTTCTTCTGTAATGCATTTGATTAGCAAATGTGTTCCAGACGAAGATGCTTGATTTTTAAAATTTGTCAATTTGGAGTTTAGTCAAAATTTTTATTTGCATTCTGCTAGGGTGGGCCGATTGCAGAACATGAGGGTGGGTGGGTCTCGTCGCAGCAACCTCCTCGTGGTGAGACCTGGGTCGGAATTTTCCTTGGAATAGGATATTGTTTTTTTCGACATTAATATTCTGTACCAAGGATCATGCCGTGCGAATAGCTGCAAAAAATTTAATGTTCTGCAATCGATGTTAATTTTTGTTGTAGTTTCTGTTTCAGGTTTCGTTATAAATAGATCAAATATCGTATCCTTTCGATTAACTTTTATCTGGGCTACTTACACGTTGAAGTGCAGGATTCGGACTTTTACTGAAACTCAGATAATTTCGAAATTCATACTTTATATTTTATGCACAGGCTTTACCTTAAGACTGTGTCAGCAAACAGGCAACCATCGTTCGTCGATAAAAAAGGTTCTTCTCAGACATCGGTAAACAAGATCTTCCTCAGCTGTCGATAAAAAAAGTCCTTAACTGTCGGTAAACAAGATACTCCTTAGCTGTCGGTAAACAAGATCCTCCTTAGCCGTCGGTAAACAAAGTTCACATTTTTTTAATAACCCTTTATCGATAACGTACTACGAAGTTCCACCTGCAGCTTACGAGACGCTTAGACCGATTGCCACAGATGTCGCTGAAACGCGGCGGGTCGTACGAATTCCGTTTTTGAACACTGCGGGACGCGGACTTGTAGCAGCGTTATTATTGCCCTAATAGAGTTCTAATCCAATTGAAATTAGTATGGGAATACTGCTAAATGTCCACTATAATTTCTTCAGTTCTAAAGGGCCACCAATTATGTCTATAAAGTCTGAATGATTTATTGTGGACCTGTCGGAAAATGCGTCGGGCATTGTGACTTTCTCTCACTGTAAATACATGTCTGCGTTGTCAGATACCTCTTTGATCATCATGCTTCACGAATAAGTACCAGGGACTGATGAGATACTTTTTCGAATAAGGTAGCATCGGGAGCGCTGACTCTATCCTTGTCGCACAGTCGTATTGTCCTTGCTTAATTATTGCGAAGATAGGGAAAAATTGCCTTAGAAATTAGCATGGCCTGTTTCTCTATGTAAAAATATAGTTGCAGTTAAATACTATTAATAATTTTCCTTGTCTTACATTTTGCAAAAACGGACATATGAGGGGGAATGTAACGACGCGCCGCGTATGCAAATATTGAATAATGACTAGTTCAAACTTTTCTCTGATACTTTTTACAAATACATTTATTATTTTTTTATACAAAATCCATATAAAATACGGAGGAAGGTATCGCGTACACCTTATAAATACGTTATTTACATTATATTATATTATATTATATTATATTATATTATCTATATATCTATATATAAATCGTGGTTGGGCCGTCAAAATTTTTCGAAAATTTTGCCGTCTTCCGTTGGTGGAGAGAGTATTTCGCCCTTTAATGGATACAATTTAATTCACTTCACGTTCTCAGCCTGTTTCAAACAGCCATGATTCTTAAGACGGACATGTCCAATAAGTAATGTACAAGTATGTTCACAACGTTCTCGAGTGATGACGTTATTCGATTATGGAATTAAAAGTCACTGGTGTGTTTAGGAACCGACGATCATTGCGATCAAGATCGCGAGGAACGGAACAAGATCGACGAACGAGCCTCTTGTCGCGCTTGACGGAATTCCTATCTCGGCACACATCGTTTCGTTAACTTCCGGCAGGGCCGTGTAATTTGGGAATGTCTGGATATCTGCAGGCTGTAATTAAAAATCAATTAAATCATCGTCACACTTACCAGATTTCAGTGGAAAAGCATTTAAAATTCAATTTACCAGGGCTAATTTATCATCCCTTTTCCTGCAGAAGGTCATGTGCCTACCGTGGTAAAGACTTCGCTCAATGGACGTGGAAAGTAGCTCCTCAGTCCAGGGTAATGCTAACATGTGTTCTGCCAATGTTCGACCTGTTGAAAATAGAAGGAATATTACATCTATTAGGAGTTGCTTCTACATTTCCTTGGAATTCTCCAATTGTAAATAAATAATTCACTAGAATTTTCCGATTCGAGAATCAAGTTTACCTCTGAATTCTGCAGGGTCCTCGATGATAAGACGAGTGAACACGTTATCATTTTCATGCTCAACCGTGTAGTCCCTCATAGCTCTTAGAGCCGACTTGGCTACTTTGATCTGATCTTCGTCAATAACGTCACCGGGTCTGGTCGCAGGATAAATAGGTAAATGCTGCTGACCAGTGTAAGGGATCGTGACCGTGTCGGTTCTGAAAAAGAACCGTGTCTATTGAAATCACGAATTCTTTTCCTATTTCTTCCGAAGTTGTTTTCGAGTAGTTTACCTGGTAGTTAAGAAAAGCTTCTCCAAGTGATCCATAGTAACACCTTTGAAACTGTACACTCCGAGAGTCTTGAAGAGATCCTTCACAGGTGTCATACTGTAGCAAGCTGCGAGCGGCGTTCTCGGATAGTGCATCACAAAAGCCAAACACATTTCTTGAGACGCGGCATAGCCTCCCAAAGTTGGTTTCGTTCTATCCAGGGTACCATAGACGCATTCGGCTACCAGTTCATCTCCCGGAAGAACTTTGACTTCCTTCTCCAGGGTGTGAGACTGCTGGTACTCGAAGTCGAAATGGTTATCTTGTACGATCCTAGGTAGTTCTTTGCCTTGGCGAATGTGCTTTAAGCTCAAGCGTCTTCCGGCTAGATGGGAATGCAGTGCGACCGATACAATGTTTATTCCAGTTTCCGGGAACATCTGCAAAACCATTGTTCCTCGTAAATCCAGAGATTCTTCAAGCGATAGATATATCATTCTAGTTATTGACATCGAGCAATTTCTTACCGTATTTGTGCAATGAGGAGTACAGTACCCAGCAGTGGCGTACTCCCTCTGCTTCGGAGGAATCAGATGAAGAGGACTAACAGCTACGCCAGCGACTAAAATTCCGGCCTCTTCAGGACGAAGTTTCGGAGTCAAGTGAAGCCTCACCCCACTGCTGTCCAACACTTTCTTCATGCCAGGGTTGTTGTAATGCACTTCTAACATGTAATACGTGCCCTCGCTGTGCTCCGCGATGGGTATACCGACGTGTTCTGGTAGCCATTCGCCTGGAAGACGAAGATGTTTGTTAATTATCAATAGTCTTAATTTGTTTATTTTCGTGTAGTTGAATAACGTTACGAATAATACCTGAGCTACCGCGGGCCCAAGCGAGCACCGGTTGCAGGCAGGACTCCCATTCTCTAGGCATGGTGGGGCTGTAACAAGGCGCTCCGACAATTCTGGCATGCTGTCCGAGGATCGGCAAGGTGGAGGCGCATTCGTACAGTATTATATGGTGTACCAGGTCTTCATTTGCCTTCTCGATCAGCGGCGTGTACTGGAAAGAAGCGATTCGGCCGTTCACTTCTCACGATTCAAGCTCGTTTAGCTCCTTGGTCGCGCGAATTCGAAGAAGAATCATGGTGATAGGGGACACGCCAATGGAATACGGGAGTGGTATCAGGACTCTCCTCTCGGGAGATACCTTTCAGAAGATTCCATTGACAATCGGGGAACGTTTCGGACACGAAATGACATCATTCCCCGAGGCCCTTCTTTATTCTAATGACGTCCGTCTACACGGTGCCACGTCCGGCATGGATGACCGTGATTCGTGAAGCACATACCGAATCAAGCCCAACCTCACGGCATTCCTGCGTATTTCTGCGGCGTGTACACGAAACGTACTTGGGAATACCAATCCACGCGTGCCGGGATTCGGCGAACGAGGTCTTCAGCTTCCCACGTGGGAGACAAAGGGCCCCCCTTCGGACGCGACGGGCCGCGGGATCGAACTCGGGGGACACCATTATTAGACTGGGGATTCTACGCTCCTTCGAGCTCACAAAAATTCCAAACTCAAACTTCATTCTCGATATATTAGAGTATATTCTAGGAACGAATCGTTTTCTTCAAGATCCGCGTACACGACAGATTTAGCGTCTGACATTGGAATTTTTCGTCTAGACTTTACAGCCTCTGAGATGTTCGATGAAATAAATCTTTCTGACAAAAATCTCGATTACTTACTCCGATCATATGATGCTTCTCCTTATGAGGCGCCTTGAAGATCTTGCACCAGTAAGTGGTGTCCGCATTCTCTGAGACCGGCGGCTAAAAAGTAGACGGACATAGATAATAGTCATTTATATTTAACCAAGTTACTTGGACTAATATCATTACACTGCCTGCAATCTACCTGATGCAGTTTAACATCCCAATGCGTTATATCCTGCGTGTGTTGCGGGGGTGAGTGCGGTGCGGGCGTTTTCAGCCTCAGAGCCCTGCCGCCCCTCTTGTCACCGGGCCAAATGGCAGTGTTAAGTTCAGGGTCAGTTTGGTGCAGCGCCCACAGGACTCGAACCGTGTCTCCCTGGAACGACAATCGATATTTCCTATAAGGTTTCTCGGTTTACGAGTCGATGCAGTCTCTAGTTAACACTGGGACCACCAAAAATTCAAAACGACCGATGTTGATTTCTTATCTTCGCGTTGCATCAAATTTCAGACGATATCGCGGTGGAAATGTCTAATTTCCATCGTTATGAGATGGGATATTTTTAATCGGTAATTTCGATTGTACCGTTGGTTCCAGTGCCAAGTTCGTCGCTAATTTTAATTGAAGCTCGTAGAGGCGGTGGTTTGACGAACTGCTTTATTCGAATCGTGGAGGACGGTTAAGCAGGACGGCATGCTAAATGCCTAAATATCGCCGCGGGAATTCGGTTGAACGAGGGCCCGAGGGTCTCTAGAAGTCGCGGGGTCCCTCCGTGCCGGGCATAAATCGAAACGGAACCGTTTACGCGAATTTTACGGGGCTTCCGAAGCTGCACGGTAAATCTCTCTCTCATATCTCCCCTCTGCCCCTTTCTTGCTTTCTTTCTCTCTTTCTTCCCTTGGCCATCCTCGATTCCCAGGCTCCGCCGCTTGAATCCGATGTCGGACAATTTACTTTTTTACGACTTCTAATTATCTTGCTAGGAATTACGACCGGATCGTCGCCCACTGTGCAAATATGATTCTCTTTATGCCCCAGCGATGCGTGGCGAGGGACTCGGGCCTTGTTAAACAGCGACTCATTGAATCCTTGAATAATCTTCGGGATGCCCTCACGATTCGTCGACTTTTTAGATGGACCGAATAAATAATAGTGGAAACGTTGCAAAATACTGTTTCCGATAGCACGATATTGTTTCAACCCTTTGCGGACGAATGTCTACATTTCGGCGAGAGCAAATTTCCATATTTGGAAGAGTAAGTCGCAAACAGACGATTCAATTACTCAAACAGCAAGAGATCAGTGTATGATTTCTTTTCTTTCTATTGTTTCAGCAATCGATATATAATTTAAGTTCATCTGCTGAAGGTTTCATATACTTCAAAGAATCTTTGCCCGCAAAGGGTTAAACAGGCGTTGTTTCTAGACTGTAGAACGATTAATTATACATTCATTATCCTCGCTAAGGACTCGAATAGTTTTCCTGGTACTCACCGTGAGCCTGTGATCCTGCGGATCGCAAGTCTGCCAATTCCGCGAGAAGATCACGCTGGTGTGCGTCTCGTTCTGCGATCCGCCGAGCACCTTCACGTCCTGGGACGCGTCCGTGACCAGGGCGGCGTCGGGATCCTCAATGCCGTGTGAATCCTGGAAAATCGAAGGGAAAAAATTGATCGAATCGGAATCGCGAGCAGGGTCAACGGACGGGCAAGCGCGACCGGTCAAAGAATCGGTGCGTCGCGCTCGTGCGAGTTTATCGGGTCAGGTGAACGCCAGGTGTTTGCGTCCGACGCCGCGCCGAAACTTTCTGACAGGACTTGATCCTCGCTATATCGCCGGTACTTTCTCTTCTACTCCCGCCGTTGGAATTGCAGGACGCCGCACGCGATGCGGCGCATTCCCAGATTTAACCTCGGAATTTCGGGACGAGTGGACGTGCAAATAACTGTGCCCTTTTCGTGTCGGGAATTAACGAGACGCTACAAGCCAACGGTCGGTGAAATCTTTATCTATAACATTAATTTATGTCTAACTATAAACGGATCTCCGGGCGAAGAATATTAGTGTTGCAGACACTATTACAGTCTCTGAAAAGTCTCTAACGCGACCGAAGATTTACGAATGGTTCCTAAACAGCTATTAAGAGCCCCGAGGGATAACGAGTTTTCAGAAGATCCATCGGTGATCTTCGGAAATCGACGGGAACATTTATAATCCGCCGTAACGTCGAAGATTTTATTATCAGAGCTATAAGGGCTACCGGGTAATAACGTCGCGGAGGAATAGCAAGGATTATTACAGTTTTCGCGATCCTATTAACAGATTCTAAATCAGAAGTGTTCTGAGGGGTATATTCCTATTTCACTTTCAAATTAACGTTTCATATCCCTTTAATTCGTTGCTCTAATGCGCCGCTTTCTCTACGTTCCGGCGCTACAAGTATCGCGTTACCCGCGCGAGCTATGGAAAAAAGCGTTTTGTTCCGAGTTAATTAATATTTATAACGTTCCGGTACAGCATGGATCTGATAGCGAGTAGAATAGCGGCGAACATTCGAACACGCAAAAGGGCGGTCGCCGGCCGTTTGGGTCCGTTGGATTCCGATTATGGTCGGGCGCTAAAGTTCGTAAGACCCCGAAGGGAAGTCACCTTCCTGCCCGTAATGAATCGAAATAATTGGCCGAGCGGCGTCATGCTCGCTGAGTATTTTGTAACGAGCACACGCGCGCGGAGGAAACGGCGATCAAGTGGCGCAGCTCGTGAAAAAATCAACCTACTGTCGGGGCTGTTTGCTAATAATTATGTAGACGGTCGTCCCTCCCTTTATGTACCTGTTAATCGCGTGACAACCTGGTACCTTCCGAGTTTCTTTCAAGTCTCGTTGACGTTCGAAGGAGGACACCCTTTAGACCCTTTACTTGAAACGGCATGTCGGAATTGCGATGCAAATTACGAACAGAAGTTAGTTAGTTGTTACATTACACGTAATTTTTCTATTAACAGTTAATCCTTGAAGTAAATGTAGACGTTTTTTAGTAAATAATTAATCATAAAGTAATCTAGCAATACATTAAGTGTACATTTGGCGTTAAAAATCGACTTTATTCGTTATTCTTCTTGTTGGATCGTTATTCAATATAATTCTTTAGCTGCATAACATCAGAAACCTTTCTTATCGACAGATAGTACAGCTACCTCCATTTTGTTTTCTCTATAGGAACTTACAACGTCAACCAGAAAATAACAAAAGCGCCGAGCGAATGTTCTCGAGTAATTAACATTCGACTCTGCGAGAATCGTGAATGGGTTTTTCGGTAACAATGTCGCGTTTGGTTATTGGGGTGTGGTTCGGAACGGGTTCCCACGAGGTTCGTGGGGGTTTTCTCATGGCGTTCCGGATATTCTCATCGTCGCCGAACTCGTTAACACGGCCGTGGCATTGGTAGATTGCTATTCAAAAGACATCAAAGAAAGAACCGTGGAAAAGGAAGAACTTCGGGGATATTATCTCGAATTCTACGAGTTCGATCGATCGATAGGGCGCTTTTAATTTAATTTATATGATCCTCGTGTTACGGGGAAGACGGATAAACAGGCCAGGAGAACGTTCCCTTTTTTTCTTCGTTTTTCTTCGTCTTAGCAGAACGGATTACGTTTACCCGCGGGAACGCCTTGATTGCCGGTCGCGGGAGATTATGCAAATGATCGGTGAAGCTCGCGTAGACACCTGGGTTTCTGTAACTGAGTCACGAAACTGACAACGAGGAAGAAGCTTCTCTGCACGCTTCTCTCCCGCGTCCTCCTTTCAGGAACAGGTTTCGCGACTTTTGCGAGTAACAAATGCGTCGGACGGCCCGTCGCCGTACCCTTCGCGAGATCTAACGATGCTTGTTAATATCGCGCGGAAAATAAAGGCATCGAGGAGAAAGTTCGATTCGACATAGGAAATCTCTCGGATAAGTACGACCACGTCCATCCATGTTTCGCGATTATAGACACTTTCAAAGTATTCGATATCCGAAATTACTTTCAAAATAGTTTCACTGAAATGCTATAACAAATATCCGAAGAAATGGAAAAATTTGTACTGTTACAATCTTTAAGCTTCGTACATCAAATATGATAAACTTCGAACTAGAATTCTTTAAATAGAATTCTACAGATTACATCGAGTTATTCTCTTAATCGACAACATTTCATATCTGTAATTCTGACGAGGAACGAGCCAGAACACCGAGACTGAGCGACGAACTTAATTTTTATTCTTTGGACAAGCGCTGCGCTCATTACCAGCAGTAGCCACGTTTCCAGACTTGATAAAGTACAATCGGGGCACTTCCAGGAACAGAAGATTGATTAAACGTAATTGTACAATCATCAAGTAGTCCGATATCCTTGGATAAAACGAGCCGCGGATGCATGGGAAAGCAGGCACACGTGCGTGAATGCGGAAAATTAATTCGACGGATGTGACGTCACGGATCGGTACTCGCGCTTCCTGTGGGAGTCTCCTGAGAAACCTGTACATTTCAGAAGACCCCTGTTTCATCCTTTCCGATGAGCATTCATTAGCCGTGGCTACATGAACGCGAAACTTCAAAACGAGAATCAAGCTATGAAATTCCTTGCCGGCGGAATTGCAACGATTTTAACGTTCTAACGGTTCTACTCGAATATCCTTTGTGATCCTTGGAAAGCAGGAACGGCTGTAGCATCCTTCGTAATCGAAATTAATCCCAGAAATTCTGCAATTACCTTACAGTACGTTCGATCAGAATTATTCCCACTTATAGTTCAATTTATCCTGCAATGAAACTGCAACTCGACACGCAATCTCCTAAGTCCCGTTCAATATTAAAAGGACAAAAAAGTCCACGTTCAGTGTTATCACAATGAAAATTCACGAAACACGGCGCACAGGCCGCGCCAAGCGAAGAAAAAGAAGCGAGAAAAACGAGCTGCGCGGCAAGAAGCGAAACACTGATACGCATCCTAGCTCTATCGGCGTGATCTATCATGAGAAATAGTTTCCGATCTATATACACCCGGGCAAAAAAGAAACGGTTCCCTTTGTGGCCGTGGTGGATCGCGGCGGATCGTGGCGGATCGTCGCGGTTCCCATGGGCCCTGGAGTATTCCGAAGAAAAAGAGAGAAATTCTCTCATGAGGCGCCACTAGGAGGAGGACGATGCTTGCCAGGTGTTTTGGAGGTAGCCCAGGCTCTCTTCTCTCCCTCTTCTCTCCCTCTTTTTCTCTCCTCGCCGGTGGAAAGCATTTGCGGCCGCGTATTCCTTTCCCTTTTTTCTCCGTCCTTCTTGCATCCGTTGCTTCTTCGTCCTCGAGGCCGGTTCGCCGTCTCTCTCCAGCGGGGTACACCTCGAGAAATCCGACCACTCTTTGGTCCTTCCATTTCTCTTGCATCCTTCTTTCTCTTCCTCTCGATTCTCCTCGGTTCTCCTCGCTCCTCTTCGCTCCTCTTCGCTCCTGCTCGCTTCTCCACGCTTCTCCACGCTTCTTCCTCCGGCCGTGGTCCTCGGCAGCCTCTCCTTTTTCTAGTGGCTCTCCGTTTTACCACCTGGCAGAACAGCAGCTGGTAGCGCAAAGAGAATCCCTCCGAGGGAATATAAAGGGCCTTCCCTATCGTCCGCCATAGGGGCATGGGGAGGCTACGAGGAACCACCTACCGGTCACTGAAAGGGAATCGGCCGGGTACCGACGAAACGACGTCTCCCTAATCGCTGAGAAAATGTTTGTAGGCACACTGAAGCGCGTGTCGTCGTTAGCCTTCCGCGTTCGACTGACGGCCGACTCAGACGTCTCAGGGGACGCTAATTGTCTGAGCTGGGTCAGAGGTGACGAGGTTTCCATGTGATTCATTTTAGACGAATTCCTTTTCTCACGTTGCCCGGCGGATCGCGGCTTTCGCAGTGTCTGGCCGATCCGGTTCTCACGTTACGAGGATGGGACTTGGATGTTTAGTCGATTGAGAATATTTTAGACAAAGTAGTTTATGTTTCGAGTTGCACTTTTCTTAAGAAAATAGCTCGACGACAATTCGTGGCTAGGCTACTCCAGATCGTCAAGTACACACGGTGAGATTGGGATAATTAAACAACGGTAAATTGAACTTTCGCGAGGTTCAATTGAATTCTAATCAAAATAAAGTGACAACTCCAACAGAGGTGAACGGGGGTGTTAATAGGCGCGAGGTAATCGTTAGATCTCGGGTTTCCATGCGTTTACGACGTGCAGGAATATTTAACATTCAACGGGGGTTCAAAGGATCACGGTAAAATTTAATTCGATATTATTTTATTCTCACTCCATTTAGACCATTAAACGGGAAAAGGAAACTTAATTGAATTTAACTCCAGTATCCCCGGCGAGTCCGGTTACGAAGACGCGCATTTGCATAAACATCTGGTAACAATATTTCCAACGCGGTGGAAAAAACGTTTTGCATGAATTCATATCTTCCTCTGGAATCATTCACCTCGCGTTCCCATAAAGGTGCGTAGATATCCTTCAGCGTGTCAAGGTACAAGTCGATCCGGTTCTCACGTGTCCCGTAGCCGAGAAGGGTGAGCGGTTACGCGCAATTACGCTCGCCGGCTCGTTACAGCTCAACGTGCCCGGTTTTACGAGCG